TACACCTGTCCCACCCCAATCCATGCTCTTTTATTACCACCAAGATCAGGACCCAGTCCCCTCTCCCTGAATTCCTTCCCCAACCTCCACTGACATCCCAGCTGTTTGACCCTTCCCCAAGGCAGGGACCAGAGGGAGAGAACTCACAGCTCCCAGGGTCCTCAGTAGCTTGTGCAGGACCAGCAGTGGCATCTTCTGTAACCGAGAAGACAGACAATTATGAGGACTGAGCTTGATCCACACCAGAGCCATCCTCCCTCGCATTCCCAATCCTGAGCTCTCGGGAATGATTGTGGACACAGGCGGGCAGATTTCACTGTTGGCTGAACAGGTCCTTCTGCCACACCAGTGGGTCCATCAGAGCATTCTTTTTGATGTTTAACTCCTTCTGAAGTTTTTTGAAGCAGGTTCTCCTCAGAAAAGTGGGATATTCCTCTGAAAACTGCCCTCCTCCTCTGCCTGTAGCTTGTGAGGTGCCCTAAGCTACTGTCAGGGAGTCAGCCATGGCCTATGGTGGTGGAAGTTGGTGCAGAGGCCCTTGGGTCATGCTCATGTGGTTTATGGGATAGGACTCCAGCTCTAAATCCACACATTCTTTCAACAGAATATTTATACAAAGCTCTCTGCTAAGTGAAGGGCGTTCTATGATAAAGAAGGTAGATAAGACCCCGCCCTGACAGAGGTAACATTCTAACATAATTATTTAGTTCCAGGGGAGATGGTGCAATTTGGGCAAAAGAGGTTTAATTGATCATTCATACATTTTTTTTTTGAGGAAGACTTTCTTGAAGAATTCATACCTAAAGTGAGATTTCAGAGATGAGAAAGCACCTGGTTGGATGATATTCAGAGTTGGCTGGGGAAGGGGACAGGCAGAAGGAAGAGCAAGAAGGAAGGTCCCAAATTTTGAGGAGTGGCAGGGTTGTCCTGGCCCAAATAGTGCTTTTGTGCAATTGGAAAAGGCATCCTGAGAGATAGCCATAGGCAGGTTATGTTGCTCGGCAAGGGTAACATGGGCTCCATCACCTTCCCTGCTAGTACCCTTGTGCATGGGACAACCTGCTCTGCTGTATTCAGTGGCCCAGGGCCCTGCAATAAGGCCAGTGTGAACATTATATGGGGTTAAGGAGGATGTGTGAGGAGATGGCCAGAGGTTTCCTGCCTTCCCTGCAGCCTCAGCAGTGAGGCAAATAGGCCACATGTG